ATGAAATGGAAACTGTAAAAAATCTTTAAACTACTTCTGGACCATTGTCTAACTGGAACGAAGATTTTTGATTTCGATTAACAATTTAGTTGTTTTTAACTCAATATCTTTGACATCAAACTTAGATCTTGGAAAAATTGATGGCTTGCGTGGTGAATCAATTTCGATAAATCTAAAATTTAAATGAAATTGTAATAGATGCACTAAGAAAAAAAAAAAAAAAAATGTTCGTAGAAAATTCTATCAGCAATACACAATACGCTTCATGTCAGCGTAGTTTCATCGATCCTAAACATGCCTCATTGTACACGTAAACGATCCAAATAAAAAATCCCCACGTTCAATGTACACGTGTTTCTTCACAAAATGTACAAAACAAGCAAACGAGCAAGGAAGCCCTCCAGCGTGAAAACTTCAGTACGCTCACGTTCAATTTGAATTTTCAATTCCCCCCACCGTAGCTCTTATCATCGACTACACTTGGCCTGTAAAGAAAAAAAAGTAAAAGAAGAAGCTCACAGGAAATAGTTGTACCGTAAGAATGCAAATAGCCCCGATTTCATATGCACGATGCTCGCTAATGCCGTGCCTATCCACAGAGGCCTGGGATTCCCTGTTGACACGCAGCAGCGTCAACGGAACGATTTTATCAACGGAGGATGTACCCATTGTAGAACGGGACGAATGTTTTTCAACTCCCTGCCGCTTTTTCTTTTCTTCGGCGTTTTTGACACATATAAATGTCCGAGGCTAGTGCGTATTTGTACACGAGTGTACATTTTCACATGTGGCAAAAAAAAGGAGACCGAAGAGAGAGATATTCATGTGGCCTAGTTTCAGTAATGGAAGTGGGGGTGGTGGAGTATCTGGAAACGCCTTTAGTCGCCGTAAACAACGCGATATTTTTGTTTATCTCTCTCTCTCATTCTTCCGTACAAAAAGAGCTTTTGCGCGGGTGCGTATGTATAATATACATACAAGAGCCTCAGAGAACTCTTCCCATCATAAATCCTGGGTACGCGAGAAGAGCGCATCAGACGCTCTATGTGAGAGTTGGTGTGTGCATTTGGGTGTACTAGAGCAGTTCGAGAATCGGCGCTGAATATCTTATTGTATTCCTCAAGGGTGCTTTATTTATTCCTTTTTTTTCGTACCACTAGACGAGACGTGCTTTCTTTTTATCACCGAAAGCATGTTCCTACGGTTTTGAGGGACAATTATGTCGAACAATTATTTTTAATCCCCGAAATTTTCAAAAAAACAATCGTTAAAAATAGTGCACCCATGTACAGAAAGTTGAAAAAGTACAATTTTAACGACCACTTGGGAGCACCTAAGCACGTGTAAAGTTGAATTTACATACGAGCACTTGAGGGCATTTCATTAATTATGCCACACGCGACTGGCTGCTGCGTGTAAAGTATAGTGTAAAGTATAGTGTAATGTATGCATATATAACAAAGAAATGAAAGAAAAAACGCTTTCGGCACTGCACTTTTTTATATTTTGCGTTAAACTCGCGTAAGTGGGACCAAGAAAAGGCAAGCTGCAGTAGTAGGTATTAATTACATTTTTTTTTAATTTGTGCATACGACTAACGTATGCGAGTCAAGTTTCGCGATAATGACGCTCTTTTTTTTCCTTAGATTTCGTTTTGTAACTACCAAGGGGGGGACAAAAAAATTGTGGACTTCCGATAAATATTTCTAGAGACTCGTTAACGAGCATCGTTAAAAACAGTTTTCGCTCCTCGAGAGCTTTCACCTCATTTTTCTGTTAGCCGTCGCGCAGGAGTCCTCCCTCGCCTTATCGCGTTACGTTTCTTTGACAAGCTGCGACTAGTTTTATTTATTTTTTACTCAGATCCAAGTTCTCACTTCAATAAGTTCACACTCTCGTGGGTCTACGTCAATAAATAATCATACTTGTGTCAATTTTTATGGTCGAGAGTCCAGAAAAATTCAACGATATTTTTGTATCGATCCAACCAAACTCCATTATTTTTAACTTCATAAGTAACTGAGGTTCATAAAAATTTTATAATAATTTCACGCTGAAGAGCTTTTTTGAATCCTAAATTAAGCAGTGAAAATTTTACTTTAAGTACATTCTTTTCCTAAAGTAAGTTATTATAAAATAATAATCTGAAATTCCTTTGTATCATTAGTTGAATGCAAATACGACCATCCCTTTATTAAAACGAATAATAACTGGAGAAATTTTTGGACAAATAAGTTAGTTACATAGTTATCCTAATAACGCTGTTTATTTCATCAGCACCAACATGCTTTGGTGTTGAGATAACAATATATAAACTATAAATATTCATCAATCGTACTTTATAGCATACTTTGCGAGTTGGCTTTCTAAATTTAATCAGTTTTCTTTTCATCGTCTTGCAAATGATCGATAAACTAGTTGATTAAAAAAGCCAAGGAAGTTACAAGGACAACGTGATTGGCTCTGTAAAATAGATAGAATCGATCACGCGTAATTATCCAATTTCCTAGAAGCTTTCAAATAACAAATTTTTTCCGGTGCTGCGAAGTATTGAATGAGAGTAGCGGAAAAAATTGCGAATCAAGATTACCTACAAGAGCAAGAGAGATATTGCAACGTAGATCCCACCAACTGTGTTGGTATGCGTATTTATTGCCCCGTTATCGATTAGCCAAGGCAATTACGATAAAATCTTACGTGATAGTATGAGCATTTATTTACTATTAGTTATTTTTTTTAACGACGCTGATTTGCTCTACTTCTGGAATCGATTGAGTTTCAATGTTTTGTATCAAATTGCTTGTAAATCAAAGACAATTAATTGACTTAATCTAAAAATTTACCAATGTTTGTAGTGGTAAGCATTATATTTGGTACACATTATTTTTTAATGCATATTTCAACCATTAAACAGCAGTTTTTAACTTATTTTTTATCATTAGGTTCGAGATGGTTAGATTATTACTTCACTGTTTTAAAAATATAATAAAAAAATGGAACTTTACAGACCTCAAGCTTGAAAAGTGGGGGACTACTTAACTAATAATGATTTGTATTTTTTTTTAATTCTCTTTTATTTAATACTTAAGATAATGTTTTTTCCAATCATATTCCCATAGTCATTATTATTACGATGTCTCTGCCTTAATCCTCGCCTTACTCTATGTATTTTCTGCGATGATCCATAGATAATGAGGGAGAATCCATAAAAAGAAGGGGAGATTAATTAAAAAGAGGCTTATTACCTACCTTTTCAGTCTCGTGATCTGAGCAAGTTAGGATAAAAGCTTCTTCTATTCTTTTACTAGTACATGAACAGTGCCAAGACATTACAAAAAATTGACTTGATGAATTTGTTCAAAAAGAATTCCAAACCCATTATTTAAAAAAAAATAATCCAAGTATAGTCAGCCCTTTTCAGGATTCACACATCATTTTCAAACCTCGAGTTTTCTTTCTTTTTTTTTTATGGCGACTTTAAAATCAGTAAATAATCTTACGATGAGATTTACAGTCTTTCGGTTTCAAATACGAGATAAAAAGAAATGGCAGCATTCTTTGTTAAATGTACTGAAATTAAAAAACTTTTTTCATAACTTTAAATTATTGTGGTGTACATTGGAAAGTAGCAGCGTATTCGCAACTCGCCAACCCTTTCCAGGTCAATGGGTTAGAAGCAGTACAGCGATGACTGGTACTAAAAAAGGTTGCAATACATTAGTCTCAAAAAAAAAAAAAAAAGACTATAATAATTATAGTAAGTTCGTACGGAAAAATTTATACATACATGTACATACGAATATGTACATTTATGAATGCATAACTATCTCTTTTTCAGGATTTAACTACAAAAACAATGCATCCACAAAAAAAACTCATGAACAAACAAAACTGAGTTAAAATCTCAAAAAAGCTTCACCCATTGATTATCAACTTCACAGACTTGCATCGCCTAATAGACACTAGAAGCGCATTAAAAACCATATAAAAATAAAATGTCATTATCTCACTAAATATTTGTGACATGTCACTGCAGTAGTATACATTTAGCCCCAGTTTGCATTTATCATGAAGTTTAGAAAAAAGCTCACATATCTACATACAAAAAAAAAAAAAAAAAAAAAAAATAGTAAAACGACCAAGTTTTATCCTGACTTCCAGAATTTTCCCGATGACCTCAATAGTTGGCTAGTTTTCTCTCTTTTCCTCCCCTCATGTTCATCTCGAAATTAAAGTCCCGAACGGACGGAGTCGTCCTCCTCCATGTACCCACACTCGTTTTGAGTGCTCGCATAGTGTGTTATCTATATAACAGTACATATATAAATACATGTACGCACACAACACTAAGTTTTGGCCGAATTTCATGTGCATTATAACAGAAGTGCACGAGGAGAAACAGATGATTATGATGTACGTCGAGTTGCTGTTTTGGAGATAGCGGGAGTATAGTCCCGAGAGAAAAAAAAAGAAGAGCTGGAACAAGAGACGAGAAAGAGATAGAGAGAAGATAATATGTTTTTGGAACAAATAGGAGATAGAAAAGAGAGAAAAGGAAAAAAAAAGAATGTCTACGTGAGTAATTTTGGTGTGTTCTGAAATTGTTGTGTTACCCGGGAAGTCCCGTGATAGTATACTACTGCAGATTTGCGGTAGAGGCTTCATTACTTATATATCAATTTACATTTGCTTAAGAATATAAATTGTTTCGTAAAATCTCATATTTTATGGTTTTTGGAGAAATAGTTCCACATGTATGGCACAGAGTCATCCTAAAAGATTATACATTGGTGTGCACAAACAACTTCGAGAGTAGCAGAACAATTTCAAAACCAACCCGACCAACCTCGCGCTTTTTTAGTCTTTAGGTTCTAGCTGTACTGGGCAGTGCGTTTTTTCCATAGTTTTAGGATGATTTTTCTTGAAATTTTAGTACGAAGAAAAAAAAAATGCAAGTCCCTCAAAGCAGCACGCTAATCCCCGTCGATTTTTGTTCTCAGGCCCGGAACAAACCGGCCGACGGAGTTGGACACGTGAACCAAAAAGGCGCGGCCGGCCAAAAGGCGCCGCTCGCCGCTGGACAGAAGGTCGCCCCTGGTGCGAAAACCGCGGCGAAACCCGCGACCAAGCCAAGTGCTCAGAAGGGCCAGGTCAAGGTCACGCCCAAGGCCGCCTGCGTTAAGGGCGGCAAGAACAAGAAGAAAGGACAGAGGCAACAGTACGACCTCATCGTTACCATTAATTTGGTGAGTACACGTGTAGATTATTTTCTCTGTCTACGTATGCATGAACACTATGAAATATGACTTTGAATCGTTTGACACAAACATTTTTATCTCTTTGAGATATCTTTTTTTTTTTTTTTTTTGTTCCTCTGGGAGATTTGTGACGTTGAGGCTCGTGTTCATTCACAATGGATGTCTTAAGTATATACACACAGATTTAAGAGTTTGTATAGTTTCTTTAAACAAAATTGGCTTAGATTTCGATTTATTTTAATAGTAAAAAAATCATATTCATACTTAATTTTGATACATGAAATTTGATCCACAAAATTAGAAGACATGACCTTAAAAAGTTAAAAAAAATCTTTTTTACTGGAAAAGTGAGGAGGGTAAGCTGTGGTGATTACTTACTATGTAGTATAGAATATTGATGCAAGAGTAAGTAGAAAACACGACTCGTGTAACATTTCATTACTTGAGATCGTGTACACGCTCAGTTATTTACACGCGAATTAACAAGTACAACGTAAAAACATCGACCCTTTGTTTTCTTGTTTTTAACGCCAATGACCGATTTTAATTCATTACTCATTTTCTACACGATGCTTTATTAATCAAGTACTTTAGAATTTACTTATTGTAAGGTACTGTAGTTTCGATGATTTCAATGGATGTTGTTAAGTTTATTCAAAGAATTTCAATTTTCTTGAAAAATATACTTCCATTTGTTCAAGGACGGCCTGACTACGCATTTAACATGCTGTGCACCGAGTATCCTAAATTGAAATAGTTTGCATTGTTATTTTGATAAGATCCATGTTTGCGCGTAGTTTCCTCGTTAACTTTGGAATGCTGAATTTTCTTCTCTGTCCCCTCAATTATTTTCGTTTCTTTGCTAAATAATCCATAACATCGTTTCAACCGTCAACAAAGGATTGTATAAAAAATTAAAAATTAAGTTTATCATTACTAAAAACTGAATAACGTAAATCTACAATCACCAGAGTAACTTTTTATTTATCCATAAAAAATAAAAAATTCATGAGTTAAAAGTGAATTAACTTCATGTAAACAGTGCAGTGAAGACTAACAATTTATTTCGGTCCCACGCTGACGGAAAATCAGATTTTAGTAATCCCATCATGGTAACAGCACTTTCTCCTCCACTAATTAATTGTGACAAAAGTACCTAGTATGTAAGTCGAGTTCTCGAAAAGGACAAGGGAAGGAATTGGGTGACCCACAAACTTATTGCTCTTGTGAAAACTAATTGCAGTTGAGAGCTGTAGACAACGTATTCTCCAGGTATGGGAATGGCTCTTCGAAATCATAATCTTCCGAGCTATCGTTGTCAGTGAAAACACGACAGTCGCGGCTGTGAATGGACAGAAATAGACTTTTCGCTCGCACGCACGTGTGCCTGTGCTGTTGCAGTTGTACAGGCGGAATTGAGGAAGACATAAGTCTAGTATACGACCGTTGAATGTCTTTGTTTTTTTTTATTAACTGAAACTGCGAATCGGTAGTATTTTTATAATTTATCTATACAGGTAATACTGTTTTCTAAGCTTTTCCAGTAACATACTGCTAACATTTTTCATTCCTAACGTATTTTTTATAAACAATAAATTTCTTAAAATAATTTACTAAATAAGAAACTTTGTTATTTTATCAAAACGTTCTGATAAACAACAAAAAACTACTAAAGTATACTTTTCGTTCATTTAATTTCATGAGTAAGATTCACAAAATATCTTTAACAAAATTGTGTTTACGTTAAGCTAGTATTTTTAATACATTACAATTTTAATATTGTAGACTTGTATTATAACAATCAAAAATTTTGTGAAAAATACACGAAATGTGTCTTTTAATTTAATTTCTACCAACGATAGCAATGATGAAGTGATGAAATAAAATGCAAATCTAATAATCATGGTAACTAGAAACAATCTATAGAATCCTATAATCTACAAACTTAGCTTTTTGATATTCAATTAAGTAAAAAATTCAGTAAAACAATTTCTTAGTACATAAATTGTGTATAAAGTCATTCTTATACTTAATCAATAAAAAACATTTGTTTTTCTAAAAAAATTATTCTTTCAGGAAGCAGAATGTGAATTACTAGTTCATAAAATGGAGCGAATAAAAATGATTAAAAATTTATCTGCTGATTTCTTATAACCTTTGGTTTAACAATCATATGTTCGACAAAAAAAAAATAATTGCTGGATGCGTGAGTGTAAGCAGAAAGATGACTATTACAAAAAAAGTCATCGCCATAAAATTTATGTTTTCTTAATATTTGAAAAAATTGTTTGATATTCGTGTTCACGTACAATACTACATTATCAGAGTAATAAAATACACTGATGGCTCATAAAAATATCATGTCACGAATATCGCTGAGAAGCTCCACAAAAAATTCTGGGGAGGGGGGGGCTAAAAATTTATTCAACATCGTCATCTCTAAAACGCAGGAAAATCCAATCAGCCTCCCTTTTTCTGGCTTCGCGCCATGTTTAATTTATCTTGTCACGAGCTGTCAATAAAATGAGAATCTCAACCTTGAGTCAGACTTTTAATATCCGGTATAAAATCCACAAACATCATGCAATACATACGAGAGCTACTCGACACGTATAGGAAGCTACAGACGTGCGCATGTACGCGTTGTACTAACAGCGAGAAAGAATACAAGCTTTCCACGACATTAATCTGACCTACTTGGATGATAGAGCTACTCTTTTCAACTGACACTACAGGAAACGTAATCAGCCAATAGGTTCTCGATGTTAAGAAGTAAAGGTATGCCGGGGTGAGAGAGGGGGGCAAATGAATTGCATGAAATATTACGCTTGAGGAAATGTTGGATTGATTTATGTCCGATAAGTGCGTCAGTAAAGTATCGAGGAATATAAATTGATGACAAGCTTTTGGAAAATTTTATTTTTCCCAAGCCATGATAAATTTATTATTTGAATTAAGGAGGGAAAAAAAATAAAGGGGGCGTATATTTGTCGATGTATTAGATGAACAGTAATTTGTTACTTTTATAAAAATATCGTTGGATTGCAGCGATTCCTCGTCCCATCAATCAAGCTAAAAAATCCAGCTAAGACGTGTTCAACGGAAATTGCTGGTAACTCTTAAATATTGTAACTCATGGTAGAAATTTGAATACCCTGTTCTAGTTTTTAAAATTAGATTTTTTAGCAACAACATTATAATTTGAAATGTAAGAAATATTTTAAGATTCAAATATGGTTTTTGTACTATTGTCGAAATTGCCATTTCCTTTTATTTCTGGGACGAGTATTTAATATAACCCTCAGTATATTTGGCACCCTCATCTCTGTTTAAGAAGGTAATTTTTACACGGAGAACACTAAAACGATATGTTGGACTCTTTACTAAAATGAAAAAGCATTGTGTATGCGCGTGTTTTTGCCCTTTGTTACGATTTGAGTGCCAAATCAAACCTAAGAAAACCAGCCATTTTTTCATCCTCAGTAACATAATATACTATTTTCTTTACTATTTATCATTTTTCTTTAGAAAGATAAATTTTACTGTTACGTACTTGTTGGCCCTATATCAAAGATACCATTAGTTTTTACACAGCGAGCCAACTCGACTTCGGAGTTGACAACCTTTGAAAACTTTTTAATTAACTATTAAAATCACAAGATTTTTCCGATGGTTGTATTTTAAATTTCATCATGCTAAAATATGAAAAAGTATTTTATAAAAGTAGTACGAATAAGATCTTATAAATATTCATCATGCACTTCTATATAGACTCTTACTATCTGGGTCTATTTGCCAAGTAGAAAAAGACGAGTATGGTCAGACTAGACGACATTATTACGATGTAACGAGCATAGAAACATGTCATTCGCCTTTGTTTGTCAAAATCGTGAAACGCAATTTCCTCGAAAACATCACGTGAATCTTGAATTTCAATCCATTTAGTCAGCTCGGTACAGGAGAGGAAAACAATATTCCCAACCCAGAAACGGACAAGGACAATTAAACGAACGCTTCGTTTGTTTCAATTATCTCGTCAGCGGCACTTGCCCATCACATATTTCCTCGACAACTATTCACGCTAAAATTAACCAGACGACAAATCGTCCACTCGCTGCACGTACGAGCGCACAACGCACCTTGAAAGTAGAACAAAAAGACTACTCTCTCGCCCGCCCAAGCATCGCGACGCGACGAGCGGCACGATAATCAAGAAGCCAAAACTGTCGCGAATCAAACGCGCACGTGTTACGCTCATCTCTCTTTGCGTACACACTTATCCATGAGCTCGTGCATCATCGTCGTGATCGCGCGCAGCAGCTGAAGAATAGTAGCCACGAGAGATGCGGATCTCAAACTGCGTCGGAGCTTTTTAGTCGTGGTCGCGAAAATCGCCGGACCGGCCGCTTGGCTCTCTCCGCCGCACGTGAGCTTTTGGCTCTAGAATTAAAGAGCACGGTGCGAGAGTACAAGTACATGGTTTTTTTGGTTCTTCGATATTAAAGAACGACAGAAGCATCGCGACGTTCGTATCGTTAGTGAGTGGCACGAACACGTGTTGCTTTGCCTCCGAATGAGCTATTTCAGTTGAAGTGTACGAGTTTGTTAGCTCTTGTATTTTTGTACTTTTTTGTCTACTGTTATCGTAGTTTTTTTTTTCATTTGAACGAAAGTTATTAGATTTTTTAACTTTCTAATTCATGAAGTGAAGAAAAAACAACCGTTGACGCTAAACGCCGCTGTAGTTATTGCGTTTCTCTCTCGCCGGGCATCCAGTAGTTTTGTTTACTAAAACCGAATCGCCGCGATACGGTTCTCAAAATAGTCACTCGGGGCAGCCACTTCGCTAATAAATGTCTTAAAATATAAAAATTCTTTAGCACCTGCTGCTGTCGTTCCTGCAGTCGTGATGCAGTGGATTTTGATTTTGTACACACGAGGTACGCAGTTTTTTAATGGATACACTTTCAAGTGCTTGACATAGTAAT